ATTCTATTCTATTCTATTCTATTCTATTCTATTCTATTCTATTCTATTCTATTCTACTCTACTCTACTCTATTCTTATCCCTTATTTTATTCTTATTCTATTCTTTACTCTACTCTACTCTACTCTTTACTTAAACCAAACAGCACAAATGCAGCAGCTGTCTCGCGGCCATTCCTTCTTTGCAAATTGGCTTTCAGATAGACCATCGCTAGTCCTGGAAGTTCCAAATCTTACCCAAGGCTATAACAATAAGAGTATCTTTCCTCAGGGAAGCGTTTGTACATTTTGGGAGAAGACATCTATTTCAAAACTGGTTCTTTTTCTCCTAAAAGCGGCCTTCATAAAAACATTATTTGCGTTTATGTGGGATGAATTGAAGAGATAGGACCCTGCTTCAGAATTGTGTTTGTCCACTATAATAATGGCAAAAAAAGTGTCATTTTTAAAAAGAATAATTTGGGGGCAAGGGGAGGAGGTTAGGACCTACGAGGCACATTCTTTTAGCAGGCATGCTGTGTAAGTTTCCCACCACCTCATTTTTAAAAAGGTTAGAAACTTTGGTGCCCCCCTTGAAGCCAGGGGTGTCCAACCTTGGCAACTTTTAAGACTAGTGGACTCCAACTCCCAGAATTTCCCAATCAGCATGGGACAGCTAGAGAATTCTGGGAGTTGACATTCACAGGTGTTAAAGTGGACAAGATTGGACACCCCTGCTGTAAGCAATCTCCTCGTACCCACCTAGGGGTCAGGAATAAAAATAAATAAAAATACAGCCCCTTGGGAAGAAATCACGGTTGACCACGGCTACATCATTCCATCAAACACATCCAATCATCGTGGTGCACATCTTTCCCCAGAATGGCTACTGAATGGATTGACAGAGCTACAAGACGAACAACAACTTCCACAATGGCATCAGGAAAGGCACCCGGCCAGTAAATGCTCGGCTCCATCCAGTCACCCCGACTCCGCCCCGAATTAAGGGATTACAGGGTTGTAAAAAGGGAGTTTGTTGTAAAATATCGAGTATTTATTTATTAAGGGTGTAGACCTGTGACAGATGTCGCGGACAGCAGGAGCCGGACAAATGCAAACTCACCACTTGGGACCCAAAAACTGTGATTTGAGAATGAACTGGAAATGATACGAAGGCTTACAAGCCAATCAAATCATAGTCAAAGCTGTTTCTGTCACTGGTGGGCTTCAGCCTCAACCACCCTTCCGGTGATACGGTGTATGCTGTTGGGTGAACAGGATGCAATCCGTAGATTTTTGTGCCACCACCATCACCAATCTTTGTACAACAAGGACCCATCTTACAAACCAGCAAGGGCCAGGTTACCTAAGCTACCTTGCAACTAGGAAAGGTGAGGGGCTGCTATCCGTACATTGCCACCGACGGTTTGCGGAGAAGCCGTGAAGGCACTTCCTTAAAATGTCGGGGTGTCTTTTTCTCATTTATCTCTCTTTCGTTCCATGCTCCAGAAATCTGCAACAAACCAAAGAGACGGGAAGTGACCTGGATGGGACATTCAAATAGATGGAAGGAGAGAAAAAAAACAAGAAATATCCAAGTAGAGAAATGACCTTGAAATAAAACTTATCGGGGAAGTCAAGTTGATTCGGGAAGTGGGTGGTATATAGAAGTGACCTTGGGAGACAAGAGGAAGAGTAGTTGACCAGGCCAGATAAGAATGTCTCTTGCAGATTCTCAGTCACCCAGGCCATGATGGCACTAAAGAAGTTTTTTCAAAAGGCAACTGGACTGGGTTTTTTTCCCTGAAAAGGAGGCGTTTCACTTCTCATCCAAAGAAGCTTCATCGGTTCTGGCAGAATGGCAGGGGGTGATGGAAGGATTAGTTCTAACACTGGGAGGAAGGGCTGTATTTTCAGGTAGGAAATAATAATGATAGTGCCAGACTATAAAGAAGAGGTGTATTTTTCAGGCTTGCAAGATTGTTGTCCCTCTTGCAAAGTAACCCAGACAACAAGCATACTTAGGAGGATTATCTCTAACTTTATTGTAAGGTTACTAACAGGATCTTGCAAGTCTGAAAGTACATTTTTACCCACCCTCCAGCTGCAGGCTCAGCTGCCTCTTATCTGACTGCTGTCTAGTCTGCCGGCTCTTCCCCATTTACATGGGGAATTGAAGTCCAGGTAGGGTCACTAAAGGTAAAGGTTCCCCTTGCACATACGTGCTAGTCATTTCCGGCTCTAGGGGGCGGTGCTCATCTCCGTTACAAAGCCGAAGAAGAGCCAGCGTTGTCCGAAGACGTCTCCGTGGTCATGTGGCCGGCAGGACTAAATGCCTTCGAAGGCGCACGGAACGCTGTTCCCTTCCCACCAAAGGGGTCCCTATTTTTCTACTTGCATTTTTTTATGTGCTTTAGAGCTACTAGGTTGGCAGAAGCTGGGACCGGTAACGGGAGCTCACTCCATCCTAGCGGCTCTAGAAATTCAAACTGCCGAACTGACAACCTTTCTGATCGACAAGCTCAGCATCTTAGCCAATGAGCCACCGCATTTCCCCCAGGGTCACTTACCTGAAGTTTGATACTTCCAAGAAATTGTCCTTTAGAAAGTCGGAGACTAGGGGAGGTGGGAAAAGAAGAGCTAACTTGAGCTTCTGGAGAAAGGGAGAGATGGGGCTATGGCAAGTCGGTCAAGAGGAGATGTGGTAGACCTCTTCAAATATCTGAAGGTCTGCCTTATTATAGAAGGTTCGGACTTATTCTCACTTGCTCCAGGGGGTAAGACTAGATGGGGTGAAACTGCAAGGATGTAGATGAGATGTTAAGAAGAACTTGACCCTAAGTGCACCCTAAGTGCTTTTTCCCCTAAGAGGCAATTGGACTTTCTGGTTTTTTGTTTCACTTCTCATCCAAGAAGCTTCTTCAGCTCTGACTGGATGGTGGGTTGCATTCACACACAGTCTAAAACAGGGGTCTCCAACTCAATTTACCTGGGGGCCGCTGGAGGCAGAGTCTGGGTGAGGCTGGGCCGCCTAAGGGATTCCACAAAAAACGTTGTTAAAAAAATATCCTCAAATGTCATCAACAGTTAATGATTTCTCCCAGAAAGCCCAGTTGCCGCTTGAAAAAGCACCTTTGGGACAACCATGACCTGGATGACCGACAGTCTCCATAGATGTTGACCGTAAGAGCTTTCAATCAGCAGAATGGATTATAGCGGTGGGTCTTAACCCGTGGCTCACAGACCCCTGGGGAAGGCCCCAATGGCATCACAGGAGATCCACAAAGGCTTGAAAAAAAAATGTTACGATGTAAATCTTAAGTCTTGAGGGCCTGTGGCCATAAAAGGTATTTAAAGGGCGTCTGTGATGAAGGAAAGCTTGGGAAACAATGGATTACAGTATTGCACAGAGTATAGTTTCTTCCTCCTCACTGGTGGGCTTTCAAACAGAGGTTGGATAGCCATCCAGTGAGATTGGTGTAATTAATCCTTTAGGGTACAGGAGGTTGGACTTGATGACCTCTCAGGCCCCATCCAACTCTATGATTCTAATGAAATAAACTAGGCATAACAACGCAAAAGGATAAAAGAAGCTAAGGGATCTTCTTTTTCTGTTCGAAAAAGCCAGAAAGTTCTTGTGAACTTTGAACGGCTCGTGAGGTTTATTGGTGAACCATTCAAAGCCCAGTCTAATGACAGAACAGAAGGATGAGATGGACGTGGAATGTCCAAAGGGGGAATCCAGTCTGCCTCTTGATTTCAAATTTACTCCCCTTCAGATCAATTTGGTTCAAAGGGATTTCAGCCTTCTGCCCTTTGCCCAACGGAATTAGAAACCGCGAATTCAAAAATTAAACAGCCAATTGGCCCGAAATATAACTGTGGCTATATTTGGTGCCAAGCCATGGATTTTTAACGTGGCTTATCAAACTAGTCGCATCTGTACTGGTTTATACAACAGACTAAGCTATACATTGCATTATCAACAAGGGTGGGATTCTACCGAGGTTAAATTTGCATCTGGCATCTGGTTTGCCGAATTGGTATTTGAACTGATCGGCTGGACTTGCCTACCCCTCCCCGAGTCTCCATGTGGCCCATTTTCAATGCAGGTAAGTGCAGGGTCTGCGCAGAGGCACTGGGAGGGGGAAAAACAGGCCTTCCGGAAGTAACAGAAATCACAAAATGGGCTTCCGGCTTCCAGATGGCCTCCAGAACCTGGGGGAGGCTGTTTTCACCCTCCCAGAGGCCCAAGGGAAGCCTCTGGACCCTTGGGAAGGTGAAAAACAGCCCTCCCAGAAGTTCTGGTAGGCCACGCCCACCATGACCACACCCACCCAGCAACTGGGCAACGAACCGGTTGCTGGGATTTTTGACTCCCACCCCATTATAAACCTAAATGGCTGGGTCTGCATGATGCACTAAGCCGGCATCTCCCATTCTTTGCAACTTTTAAGGCGCGCGGACTTCAACTCCCAGAATTCCCCAGCTGTCCACATGGACAGCCACTTACAGAATACCCAGCCAGCAGGATTCTGGGAATGTATTTCCACATATCTTAAAAGTTGCAAAGTTTGGAAAACCCTGTACTGCAGTGGCCCCCAAACGCTTTAGGCCACCAAGGGACCGGTTCCGTGGAGAAAGGTTTTTCCGTGGACTGGAGAGGCGTGGTATTGCATGTTTCCTGGATCCTTTGGGTGGGGCTATGCTTGTTGGTGTGGACTGGTTCCTGGCATGCTACGGACTGGTGCCAGTCCGCTGACCAGGGGTTGGGGATTCCTGCTGTACTGTACTAAACCAAAAGACAAATACATTCTCTTATGTGGTGGAATGTAGTCTGGATTCCCAGGAGGGAGGGGCTGAATCCCAGAGGACCGAGAGACAGCTACATTGTTTGACTGGGATAAAGAAGAGTCAAGAGGACTCCTCCCTAGAACTTCTCAGAGTATATATATTTAAGGATAGCAAGAGCACTTAAGACGTACAGTATATATTGCCTCATTTTGCTTTATAGGACAATGTCAGCTTATTGTCCCCAGCAATCCGGGTCTTCATTTCATCGACCTCGTAAGGATGGAAGGCTGAGTCAATTTTGAGCCCCATCAGCATCGAACTTCAGACTGTGGAGAGTTAGCCTGCAATACTGCACTCTAACCACTGCACCACCACAACTCTATGATTATTAATGATGCAAGTAGTTTGCTTCAATTTGGCAATATTTCTGTCTTTAGGTGAGGAACAATAAAGAAAACTATTTAGAAGCTCTGCTTGTGGGTTTTTGTTTTTTGGTTTTGGTTTTGGGAGCCTGACACTTAGGATTTTAAGTTTGAACTTAGCCATAGAGAGCTGTGCGCTAAACTGCACCCATAAACAAGTTATTATCGAAGGCTTAAAACCCAAACATCTCTTAATCCAACTTCCATCTTCTATGAGACTGAAGAACATACTAAGAAAGGCCAACCTCATAGGATTGTTGTATGAAGGTTATGTTCAGATTCTATACTGAACTTGAAAAATTGCTAACCGTCTCTGGGATGTTGGCTAGCTCTTGATATGGAGACAGGCTGGGGGTGTGAATGAAGAACCAAGCAATCTTTTTGTTGGCCATAACGGTAGCCATTTTCCTGCTGGATTATCGCCCTGTTTCTTTATGGCTTTGTCATCTCAATCTCAATCTCCTCTTTGTTGAAGATGATTTGGGTTGGGAACTCAAGCTGGGACAAGTCTGCTCAGGCATAGGAAGCCCCCAGCCGCCCACCCAAAAAACCAGAAAATTAGAGCCAATCACTTCTGCACTATGGCAAGGAACACAACCTGGACCAGAAGAGGAAGTTGACTCAGAGGAGACCTGCTTATAAAGTCACCTAGCAGGAAAGAAACTTCACCTATAGCTTAGCTATGCCCAACAGTGACGGAAAAGAATTCTCCGAAGTCATCCAATTTCCACCGTCCACCACAAGTGTTGTGCCAGTCACATATGATGCGAGGGGGCTAACCAGGTAGAGGACACTGTGAGCAATCTCTGTCTTGTTCCCGGTCCGCTGAAGGGGAATGTTCTGGAAGTAGTGGTTGGATTCCAAGTTGGGTGGAACTAGAACAAAACAAAAGCACAACGTTCGCCCACGTTATGAAGAAACAGGAGTGTGGAAGGACATCCCTGGTCTCCACAGGGTGTGGCCCCCAAAAAATAAGATGGAGGCCACCACAATGTCATTATTAGTGTTAGGCAATCCTGGAGAAAAAGGTTGGTGCTGTGAGGCGGTTGTCTCCATCTTTTTGAGTGTTTACACTTTTTAACCCTGCAATGGTGCAACCCTACCTTTTAATTCTGTTTTTGATGTTATTCTTATTTATGCCTTTGTATTTTGTGACATGCTTTTATTGTAAGCCTTTCAAGAGTCACTTAGGTGAGATGGGACAGTATAGAAATATGATGGATGGATGGATGAATGAATGGAAATGGCAGTATCTTTTTATGCACCCACATGAAAAGAAACATATGGAATTCCAATTGGATTGTCGCGGCCATCTTGAATTTTGGGACCACACCCTGAGGGACACCCCTGCATTTAACAAGATCTTCTCTTCCATTGAAACCCATTGTAAAGTCACAAATGCTTTTAGTCTTGCCTTGAAGGGGAAGGGCGGGGGGGGAAGAAGTACGTCCTGAATAATCAGTTTAATTTGCATTTTACAAAGAACTTTACAAATGCCCGTATCTCAACTCTATACACAGAGAGTTGGCAATAATGGGAGATATTGAATAATCAGCTTAATCTGCACTTTAATTTGAACTGTCCTCAGTTCAGAAGACTTACCTAAGCGACGGTACCCCTCTGTGCCAGAGATGGGACCAGGGGCGACACTAATCACTCTGATTCGTTGAGGCCCCCATTCCACAGCAAGATGCTTCGTCATAGCCTCTGTGAGGAGACAGATGGGTTTAAGAATACTGAGAATAGCCTCAGGGGAGCCCAAAATTAGAACGCCAGAGGGTTTCAGGATACGAAGAAGTCTATTTCAGGATTCAAACTCCCCTTTTTTTTTTTGAAGGAGGAAGAGAATATGGCTCACGAAATGAAGGCATAATTTAGAGATACACAGTCTTGGTCCTATCAAGAATTGGGAACATATATTCTTGGGCCTTGGGCTACACCTTCTTAAGGTAAACAAGGTTGGAATGAAGAACTAACCTGATTTAATTAATACTTCATACTTTCCATGTATTGGGCAGCAGCTAAGAAGCCCTGGAGTTAGGGTGTTAATCATGGATTCTCTCAGATTGCTGTGCAGAAGAAATAAGCAACCAATTGTGGCTTCCTGCACACAGGAAGGAAAAGTCCATGCCGTCAAAGTCTATCAACCAAAAACGTACTCAAAACTAAGAGGATGTGTTCTCCGATTCCCAAAAATTTCAGCTAAATTGGAGTTAGTTCTCAAAGGAGGTTCTTACCCCGATATGGCTAGGTCTACTGGAGGGAGTGGCTATTGTTGTGGCCCGCCAGTGGCCAGCAGAGCAGGCAGCAGACTCGGACAGAGAGGAGGTTGGGGAGGAACCTGGCTAGTCCTGGAGTCTGGGGAAGGCTCGGATGAGGACTCTGCGTTGGAGGCAGAGATGGGGCCAGGGCCGTCTGACAGTTATCAGCTGCCTTCGGAGTCAGAGATAAGTGGGGAAGAAGAACAGCTGGAGCCTGTTCCCAGTGTGCGCATGGGCAGAGCTGCCCGAAGAAGGGAACAATTAAGGAACAAGGGTCAACTCAGGAGTAAAGGCTCAGGTGGATAGTGAATGGCCCCTCCCATAGGAAATAAAGAGGAGCGAAATGGGAGTAGCGTTTGCAGGAGAGAATTAGTTCAATTCATTCGAGTGAATATCTATTCCTGGCTTCTTGCCAAGTAATTGCTGCTACAGTGTGGCATTTGGAAGCTATCTGCCTGGCAACTCTCTAAGGCCTGTCGTTGTGAAATCTCATGAAAGACTATTTGCCGGGACTTTGCTGGAAGGGAAATCACTTTAACCTAAATAAAAGGGGTTTTTATCAGGACGAGGAGTCTGCCTTATGACCTTGGAAAGCCTAGGTCAGAACAGCTATAATATGCCTTCCTGAGGATCCACCATCTTCAGTGAGGCGAGAAGCCCTCAACCTTGGACAGAGCTACCAGTGAGAAGAAGAGGAGACACAGAGGGCTTGGTCCTCATACCTACGGCCGCCTTGGCGGTCCCAGCATGCATCTGGAGAGCTTGGCCTCTGTAGCTGAGGGTCGCCGTGATGTTGACAATGACGCCGCCATTTTCCTACGTCAATAAAGCAAGCAGCAAAGTTCAGGTCAATGTCAAAAGAGTTCATAGCCACCCCTTGTGGCATTTAATAAAAAATAAAATGGCTAATTGAAGCCTCACCTCTCTCAGCGTGAATTGTCCAGTCAGGGACACTCACAGAGGAATAAAAAAATGTCAAGATGGGGCCACGAGTGGAGGGAGGCCTAAACGCCGAAGGCGCACGGAGGAACGCTGTTCCCTTCCCACCAAAGGGGTCCCTATTTTTCCACTTGCATTTTTTACGTGCTTTCGAACTGCTAGGTTGGCAGAAGTTGGGACAAGTAACGGGAGCTCACTCCGTTACGTGGCACTAGGGATTCAAACTGACGACCTTTCTGATCGACAAGCTCAGCGCCTTAGCCACTGAGCCACCGCATCCCGTGGCAGAGCCTCTTACCTGAAGATATTTCTCATACAGGACTTTAGAGACGTTGAAGGTGCCCAAAGTGTCAATTTCGACCACAGTTTTGTAACCGTTGAACGATAAAGAGCTAGCAGGACAAAGGAAGTTTCCGGCAGCATCTGAAGAACAAGACCGTGGAAAAGGAACAAGACAGACAGTGTGTGACTTACTGGATTGCAATCTTAAGGCCTGAATTCGTATCTTCTCAAACATATGGAAAGTACCACCACAGAAGCTGTTGCACGTGATGATATCCTGATAAACACATCCATTATTATTCGAATTTGATGGATCCTGGAGGTAGGGAGCCATGTTTGAAATCAAACTAGATGCAATATCTGTCTAGTGACCAAGGAGTTTGGCTATCAATAGAGAATTTAACCCAAAATCAGCCTAACACTTGCATCACGAAACTAAGCATTCTAACAGGGGTCTCCAACCTTGGTGACTTTAACCCTGGTGGACTTCCAACGGCTGGGGAATTCTGGAAGTTGAAGTCCAATCAGGCTTAAAGTCGCCAAGGTTGGAGGCCCCTGCTCTAGCGCTTCTCAACCTTGAGAACTTGAAGAGGTGCAGACTTCAACTCCCAGAATTCAATGCCGGCTGGGGAATTCTGGGAGTTGAAGTTGCACACCTCTTCAAGTTGCCAAGGTTGAGAAGCACTGTTCAAAGAGACGTTGGGCTGAGGTGGGTGTCAACCCTAATCGATCAATTATACAACATCCAACGTTCTTGATTCTTGAGACAAAGCTTCTTTGGGGTTGGATGGTGGTTGGATGGCTGTTCAACAGATCTTCTAAAAGTAAACATGAGATGCAGAGCATCTGTACGAATGAGTACACTGGGCCATTTATGAATTCGACTACCAGAACCTTTCCAGCACCCACAAAGATCACCCTTCAGGGACCACCCGTTCCTGACTTTAAGCTTGCAGATGGGGAGATCTTCCAACTTCCAAGAGGATCGTCAAACCCTCACTGTTAACTAGGATGTCGATCTTCTCGAATTCTCGGAGGGCCTCGTCCACAGCTGCTGAAATGCTTCGAGGTTGCCGTACATCAAGGGAGACAGGCAGGCATCTCTGCCCAGTGGCTGCAGAGAGTTTCTTGGCTGCCTGTCGTGGAAAATAAAAAAAACAAATTTGGACGATCAGACAGCGGCCCGGCAGGAGACACCAGAAAAGAACCAGATCACGTTTCAAAATAGCAAACTGGCCCTTGAGATCAACACTGGAATGGGAAGAAACATGCCCTATTTTTCAGAGATGTTTTACTGGCTAGGTTAGCCTGCCATTCTCAGCCAGGCTGCGTTTATCCAATTTTGACTGCATCCATCCATCACTCTCCAGCTCACTCAGAAATTAACACAGGCTTACAGTCTGTGTTGGGCTGACGCGCCATACAAAATCAAAACCAAACAGTCATAACTACAGTCATGCGGGAAAATAAATACAGGCAGTTCTCATTTAATGACCACAACTGGCATTGGTCATTAAGCAAAGTGGTCACCGAATGAAACTATGCCGTGCTTACGATCTTATCTCAGCTTTCAGTTCCTTGACAGCCCTGCCAAGGCGGTAAATGGAAGGATAAGTCATAAAGTTACATTCTCATCACCGTTGCAACTTCAAAACAGTCAAGAAAATGGGGAAACTGCTAAATGAGATCTACCTGTTATACCACCTTGAAATTTTTTATTTTTTTTTCAACGTATTTCACTTAACATGATTGGAGTGGCGCGGTGGCCTAGAGGTGGAGCTCTTGCCTCACAATCAGGAGGCTGTGAGTTCAATCCTAGGTAGAGGCGTCTCTCTGGGCACACGGAGAATAGATCTGCTGAACAAAACTCTGCACTGGCAACAGGAAGGGCATCCGGCCATTCAAACACTCTGCTAGCTCCATTCAGTTGCCCGGACTCCATCCCACAAGGGATTATGGGGTTGTTAAAATAAAGACGATTTCATTTCACATGATCCTCCTCCTACAATATCTGTTGACATCCAGAATCCTTCCCCACTGGTCAAGATTGGCAATACGTAGAAGACCAATTGATTTCCATGTGCATCAAAAGGATCAACCAGAAACTTTAATTTTCCTCCTTTAAGAAAATTAAAGCTATACTTGCACTGATCAGCTCTATCGATCTCCCAACTGGCAATGTTTTCTTTCTTTATTTTTGCTGCTTGGAAACGGGATAGAACGAGGTGCCTTTCTAAAAAGGGTTTTTTAGCAGCGTCCACGCACATGCCACAATAGCTCCAGACAAATATAAATAGCATTATAGTTATTAAACATTAACCCAACCACAACCTAATCTAAGTCAGTGTGTTTCTCAAGCTCAGCGACTTTCTGTGGACTTCAACTCCCAGAATTTCTCAGCCAGCATTTTGAGAGGTGAAGTTCACACACCTTGAAGTTGTCGACTTTTAAGAATTTGCTAATCCACATTCAGGGCCAATGGCCCAATCAGAACCAATCTCTAAAGACCTTCCAAAACAACCATGTCTTCCTGAAACTTTGGAAGACCACAAAAAAAGGAGGAATCCTTTTTTGCTTCACCGAGAAGCTACTAATATCCCAAATGGGACAGTAAAACTACTAGGATCTCGCAGCCACTCACCTCCGTCAACCGTTCGAGGTTTCTGCTGGCAATGACACACTGGCAACCGTGTCTAAAGGAAAATTTCCCAAGATCAGACAGATAAGTCAAGGAATGCAAAAAACGTCTTTCTTTTTACTTAAAAAGTTTTAGGGTTGTTGGTGTTTTTTTAAAGAAGTGCAAAAGCAAACATTTGGGAAACTACAGGTGAAACTCGAAAAATTAGAATATCATGCAAAAGTTCATTTATTTCAGTAATGCAACTTAAAAGGTGAACCTAATATATGAGATAGACTCATTACATGCAAAGCAAGATAGTTTAAGCCGTGATGTGTCATAATTGTGATGATTATGGCTTACGGCTCATGAAAGCCCCAAATCCACAATCTCAGAAAATTAGAATATTGCGAAAAGGTTCAATATTCTAGGCTCAAAGTGTCCCACTCTAATCAGCTAACTAAGCCATAACACCTGCAAAGGGTTCCTGGGCCTTTAAGTGGTCTCTCAGTCTGGTTCAGGAAGAATCACAATCATGGGAAAGACTGCTGACTGGGAGAGGAGGAATGGCCGACAGGGAATGGAAGTGTGGCACCGGTGGTTTGGAGGAGGCTGGGGAAGGCCAGAGGCCAGCTGAGCAGTCAGAGGAGGACCCAGGCCCATCCCCTATCCATCCTAGGGCACCAGGGAGGAGAGGATAAGGGAGACCTGGTCTACTGGGGAGGAGGGGGCCTTGACCCTCTTCATGGGCTGCAGGTGTGACAATTGAATAAGAGTTTGGACCTGCGTACTGGTGAACGCTGGAAACAAATCATGTAAATATCTCTAGTTAATAGTTCCTCTCTGAGTTTGGCGTCCTTCCCAGTGTGTGTTATCTGTGGACATCCTCCAGCCCTTATCTTGCCTGGTTTGTGTTGTTTTTTACTCTTTATAATTTAAACGGCATTTCCTCCTTCTTGTAACTGCTTGTGGGGGAGTTTTTTGTCTCCAATCAAGGATATTTGGAGCTTGGAAGCAAAGTGAAGGAATAAAAGGGGCTTCACCTGTTTTCTGTGACTGTGTTTGTTTGTACCCCACCCTGGGTCATCACATTAGATATGTCTAATCCAACAAAGGAGAAGACTAGGGGAGATATGACAGCAGCGTTCCAATATTTGAGGAGCTGCCACAGAGAGGAGGAAGGGGTCAACCTGTTTTCCAAAGCACCCGAAGGCCAGACAAGGAATAGTGGATGGAAACTGAACAAGGAGAGATTCAACCTGGAAATAAGGAGGAATTTTCTGAAAGTGAGAACAATCAATCAATGAAACGGTTTGCCTCCTGGAGTTGTGGGTGTTCTCAAAAACAGACTGGACAACCCTTTGATCAGAATGGCATTAGTTTTGTTGCCTTAAGCGGGGGGTTGGACTAGAAGACCTCCAAGGTCCCTCACAGGCTTATGATTCTACGTTCTATGAAAAAAAACACAGGGAAAGCAGTGAGAGATGCTGTCTTCTCAACGGAGAAGAACACATTTGTTTGCCAGAAACAAAATGGCAGCCGTCCTGCCATGGAAATAACGGAAGATAAAAATATGCCAGAGCCTTTTGTTAAGATCACATCTAAACCGCAGAGTCCTGGCTGAAGATCCCGCCAGAGATCTGCTATCCATACCTCATCAGGATCTCAGCGATGCGGAATCCAATTCCGGAGCCGCCGCCTGTGACGAAAGCCACTTTTCCTCTAGAAAAATCAGAAGGAAAAGACGCCTGAAACCAGGAGCTACCAACACGGTTCGCTTATTGATATCCTTATTTATTTGCCGTCCCAAAAACTCTGGGTGGCTCCCAAGCGAAGAAGCGTTAAACACCGGGAAAGAAATGCCAGAATTCGCAAAAAAATAATTTAAAAAAAGGAAATTGAATCATATTCTTTATTACAGATTAGTGACTCAGACTAAAGAAACTGAAGTTTCACCTAGAAAGGGGAAAAGGAGAAAGATGGCAAAACCGGACAGGAATGGCTTAGAAGCAGCAGTATATTATTATTATTATATTTGTATTGCACCCTTTTTATATATAAAACTCAAGACAGGGAGCATACCCGATGCTGTTGCCTACTTTCCCAGAACAACCACCCTGCGAGGTGGGTTGGGCTGAGAGTAAGAATGGCTGGCTCAAAGCCCTTCAGTCCGTTTTCATGCTAAGACAGGATTAAAGGTCACTGTCTCCTAGCGATTGGCTCAAAGTCACCCAGCCAGCTTTCATGACGAAGGCAGGTCTAGAACTCCCCGTATCCTGGGTGATTGGCACAAAAGTCACTATTTAATGCATAAGCGAGGACTCGAACTCGCCGTCTCCTGGTTTCCAGGCCAGCATCTTAACCGTCTCGCTAAATTGGCTCTCATGTTTCACTTGACAGGTGAGGAAATATAAAGGTGGTTTTAGCAAATGCAATGCTGGTTTGCTTTTCTTTCAGCTGCAGACCAGCATAAAACCAGTAACACTGAAGTCAGATGAATCTGATAAAATAGAAAATCGCTGGCCGTCTTTGGTTTAGAGACTGCCCTTGTTTTGCAACCGTTGCAATTATGTCAGGGATGAAGAAATAAATTCGCAACCTATGCCTGCCCTTACAACCTTGGGAGGTCTGTAAAGCAAAGAAAAGCAGATCCTAAGCAAGCAATTATGCTTCACTTAATGAGAGTAGCAGGTCCCAACTGCCGTTGCTAAATGAAGACTGCCTATATATATATCCTGTCTTTCTTTCCAAGGGCCGTAGGTAGCTTTCGGGGGAATCTCTACTGGTCTATCCGCACAACATCCCTGCAAGGTAGATTGGACTGATAAGCATTTCCTTGGCTGGCAATAACCCCGAATCTGGTTTTCACAGTCCTTAACTACACCAGCTCTCTCCTAGCTAACTCATATTTTAAACAAACGAGGTGGTAAAAGGCAAAAGATTACAGGAGAAAAAGAAGAATTAGAAGTGACATGATAGCAGTATTCCAGTACTTGAGAGGCTGCCACAAAGAAGAGGGGCTTAAATTATTCTCCAAAGCGCCCAAGGGCAAGAAACAATGGTTGGAAACTAACTAACCAAAGAGAGAAGCAACCTGGAATTAAGGAGAAACTTCTTAACAGTGAGGACAATTAACCAGTGGAACTGTTTGCCACCAGAAGTTGCAAGTGGTCCATCATTGGAGGTTTTTAAGAAGACACAAGACAGCCACTTGTCTGAAATGGTATAGGTTCTCCTGCTTGAGCAGCGGGCTAGATGACCTCCAAGGTCCCGTCCAACTCTGTTATTCTATTCTATTCTATTCTATTCTATTCTATTCTATTCTATTCTATTCTATTCTATTTCTATTTCTATTTCTATTTCTATTTCTATTTCTATTCTGTTTATTTCTATTTCTATTCTAATTCTCTATTCTGCCCAACCAGGTTTACAGGAACCTTAAAGAGACCTAGCACCTTGGGAATGCTTACTTGAGGATGTCAGGCTGGAAGACATATGAATATTCTGGAAGACAGTCATCTGTGTCCACATCAGGAGGAGGTTCACAAGCAAAGCCCGCATGAGCCATGGACAGCTAGCTTTTAGAGGAAGCCCGGCAGGCTCACAACCAGTCCTGAGATGGGGAGAAAACCCACAATATATATGATGATGGTTCGTTACACAGCCAGCTAGATGTTCGGAGTAGAATTGGAGTTTTTATCCAGCTAGAAAGCTCTTCCCAAGGATCTGGGATAGGCAGGTGTGGATGTTTGATGGTGTTAAGAGGTATCCTTGCAGGAGTTAAGCAATTCTGAGCAAAGCTGCCTTTTGCAATTGACTGAAAATGAATTTGTCAATGCTGAGGGTGTTCAAATGGTGTTTCAGATGTTCTGGGATTGCGCCAGTGGTGGAATTCAAAAATGTTTACTATCAGTTCTGTGGGTGTAGCTTGGTGGGCATGGCAGGGGAAGTGTCAACCCATAAAAATATTTCTATGATCTTTTCAGAGTTGCCAACAGAAAGTGGGGGAATAGAATAGAATACTTTATTGGCCAAGTGTGATTGGACACACAAGGAATTTGTCTTGGTGTAAATACTCTCAGTATACATAAAAGGTACATTCGTTAAGAATCAAGAATCATAACGTACAACACTTAATGATAGTCATAGGATACAATCAACAATCAAATCATACTAGGAAACAGTCAAGTGGGAGGGGATGGGTGATAAGAGGTGGTGAGAAGTAATAGTAGTGTACACTTTGTAAATAGTTGAACAGTGTTGAGGGAATTATTTGTTTAGCAGAGTGATGGCTTTCAGGAAAAAACTGTTCTTTTGTCTAGTTGTTCTGGTGTGCAGGACTCTATAGCATCGTCTTGAGGGAAGGAGTTGAAACAGTTTATGTCCGGGATGTGAGGGGTCTGCAAATATTTTCACAGCCCTCTTTTTGACTCGTGCAGTATACAGGTCCTCAGTGGAAGCCAGGTGGGTAGTAATTATTTTTTTCTGCAGTCCTAATTATCCCCTGGAGTCTGTGTCTGTCCTGTTGGGTTGCAGAACCAAACCAGGCAGTTATAGAAATGCAGATGATAGACTCAATAATTCCTCTGTAGAACTGGATCAGCAGCTCCTTGGGCAGTTTGAGCTTTCTCAAAGTGGGAGAGCAGTGGGCAGCTTACATTCCATAAAAGTTTTCAAAGATAGTTTCTAGGGGACCGAAGTTTCTGCCACACAATATTCTAACTGGAGATGATGATTGATGACTCTTGGCTATGGATGTGTCCCACTGGAGAATAGGAATTACGATACACCCAGGCAGTGCTAGGCATGTTTATTCCTAATAAATCTTTTTTAAGTTTTGGAAGTTCAGCTCGAGTCTCGTGATTTAAATGGGGGTAACTGCCGGAGCCCTGACAGGAAAAATACTGCAAAATCTCTATTCCCACCCTACTCCAGGGGATGGTTACTGCAAAATCCTCATTCCCTCCCCACCCCACTAACCTGCTTTCCAGCTCATTTCTCCTGTGCAGGACAACCAAAGAAGACCCAGCCAATCAGCTGGGACTCGGGAGGCGGAGAATAGATGGGGGCGGGGCCAGTCAGAGGTGGGATTTGATGGGTCTCCGAACTCCTCAAAATTTCCACTACCAGTTCTCCAGAACTGGTCAGAACCTGCTAAGCACCACCTCTGGAATGTGCCCAATGCACCTATTATTATTGGTACCATCTTTGCTTTCTTTTGCTATAGTTGTTCTATTTCTATTTGCAGACCTTTGTGTTTTGAGATCTTCTCTTGTTCTTTCTCTTCTCTTCTGCTCTCCAAGCACTGCCACATCCACAAACTGGTCTTTCTTAACCATTGTTATGTCTGGGGTGTGACGTGGCAGGCGCTTATTGATCTGAATTCTAAAGTCCCAGATCGCCTGAGCTTCTTCATTTTCTCTGAATTTCTCTGTCATTCTATTGTTCCCATTATTAAATTTATTTGCCATCCATCTCAGGGTTCAAGGCAACTCTGAGTGGCTAGACCAGGGGCGGGCAAACTACGGCCCGCGGGCCACATCCAGCCCGTTGGTCTTTTTAATCCGGCCCACCGAAGATTGGTACAGAATTAAGGTTTGATGTGAATGATTGAATGATTGCATTCATTTGATTTTGACTTGTAATGACAGGCATTTCGACACCGGGTGGAGGCCCGTCTGTCAAATTTTAAAAGTCAATGAGGCCCCCAAGCCAAAAAGTTTGCCCACCCCTGGGCTAGACTCATGCTGGCGCTGTAGTCAGAATGCGGAATTGCAGGCTGACTCTGCTCACTGCCAGGAGTTCGATCCTGACCAGCTCGTGGTTGACTCAGCCTTCCATCCTTTCGAGGTGGGTAAAATGAGGACCCAGATTTGTGGGGGGGAAGAGGCTGACTCTGTAAACAGCTTAGAGAGGTCCGTAAAGCACTGTAAAGTGGTATATAAGTGTTATTGCCATTGAGGACACCACCAGAAACAGGTGTAAAAAAGTTCAAACTTCACGGCCCTCCAAATCCATTACATCTGCCTCGTTTTCAAGGCAGAAAATAACAGATAGATTCTGCTCCAGAGATCAGCTACTGCCATGCCAAATTGGTTTGGTTTGAAGGGGGAAAAGGAAGGAAAATCGAGTTTGTGCCTGCTGTCTCTTATCTCCCTTTTCTTTCGAAACTCAAATACAAACTTTGCAGTGAGTGACGCAGATCACAATTCTCACCCAAACTGGCTTTTGAGCCCAAACAGATGCTGCTTCTTTAACATTGGGGCGGGGGAGGGAGTTTTACAAAATTCTTGTAAAAATTAGATTTTCTCTCTCTTTTCGAGGTCTTGGGGGAAATGTATGGGGCAGCTCCAAGAAGATGAATACTTAAAGGAAAAGGATTCCAAATTCCACCTCTCTGCACAACAAAACCCTTTTTTCCCCTCAGTTTGCATTAATAGGAATGTTGGAGTCCTAGAGAAGGAATAAATGGAGAAGGATCTACCCAGGCATTGAACGGAAGGAGAGAATTTGATGCAACTGGGTTGCTGTTGTTGTTTGCAAGACTGACACTCGCAAAGCAGTCAGGGCGGTTTGACCAGCTTTGCAAAGGAGAAGGAAAACCACCATGTATTCATTTAACAACTGCAAAAATTCAAATTGAAGTTGAATACTTTAGGGGGGCCGAGAATAATTAAACCCACGAGGAATTTGTCTCCAGTACAGAAGCACTCATGCAAAGCAACAGAAAGAATAATAAAAATAGAGGCATTGTACATAATAAACATTTTAGGTCTATATTCAACCCTCATCGCAAAGCAAAGCTCTTTGGGCTTCCCCCAAAAGACGAGGAACCCTAAGAGCAAAAAGTTTAAGAAAAGCTACTTTGAAAAAGATGAAGCAGCTGCTTGTTCCCAAGAAGGCATTGCAGCAGCTGGGAAATCCCCCTATTTTTGCACCCCCAAATCGATTTCCCTGGGGGAGGGCAGACTTGCCCCTCTCCACCTCGGCTAGGATCACAAGGCTGGCCGCCCCTCCCACCTCGCCCAGCTGATGGGCAATTCAAGAGAGGACGAGATTTCCCCACCAGCGGAGGGCGCCAGGTTGCAAAAGCTTTTCTGAGCCCTATTCCCGTTCTTGCCCTCTCGCCCCCCCACCCCCGAGGACCCTGGGCCGACACCCCACATGCAGTGGGGAGACAGGGAAAGGGGGGGAAACCCCCACCCACCCACCCTGGAATTGCACGAGCCTGTTTCGAGCTTCCCCAGAAGACAAATGAGCTGGGGACTACAACTCCCCTTATCCCCGCCCGCGGTTGCAACAGACAGTGGGAGTTGCAGCCCCCTCACCCCTCCCCCAGCACGTAGAAGGGTTGCAGAGGGTTGCAATTGGGGGTGCTCTGGCCCACTCCTCAATTCCTCCTCGGTACAGGCACCCCTCCAACAATTCCGCTCCCTCCAACTCACCCTCTCGTTTAAAGCAGCTTCTCAGCCGAATTGAGCTTGCTCTCCGATGCACCTGCGCACTGGGTTGAACCCCCAAAGCATGCCGGGAATGGTAGTTCCTTGTTTGGAAGACTAGGAGGCGCTCGGTTCAATGGGACATTCTAGGGTTGGTCGTTCTCTTGTTGGCAAAAGGGATGCTTTGGCTGGAATCCTATTGGGCAATCTCTTCATTGGACTTAATTTAAAAAAAAGGAATATTCATGTGAGTCTGTGCATCTTCTTTATTGCACAACTTTGCTTTTCTAGGCGGATGGTTTGCAAAAGGTACAAATTTGCTAATCTTTTTTCTATGGAGGTTCTCAAATCAACCAGGTCACGGCTGGCCCAAAAGGCAATTGGACTGTCTTGGTTTCAGTTCTGTCAGAGCGGAAGAAGCTTCTTGGATAAGAAGCGAAATGTTTTCAAGGGAAAAAAAAATAAGGGTCTTTTGGGAATGCACTTTTGAGTCCTTGGCCGTCAGGAGAACACCTTGGTATGGACAGAGAATTGCTCTACTCTTGGTTTTCGAACGCAGTCTGAGCTTTAGGAGGAGGAGGAGGAAAAGGAGGAGGAGGAGGAGGAGGAGAAGAGGAAGAAGAGGAGGAGGAGGAAAGAAGGAGGAGGAGGAGGAGGAGGAAGACGAAGAAGAGGAGGAGGGGGAGGGGGAGGAGGAGGAGGAGGAGGAGGAGAAGAAGAAGAAGAAGAAGAAGAAGAAGAAGAAGAAGAAGAAGAAGAAGAAGAAGAAGAAGAAGAAGAAGAAGAAGAAGAAGAAGAAGAAGAAGAAGAAGAAGAAGAAGAAGAAGAAGAAGAAGAAGTCCTCTTGCTACACATTCTTCAGTTGCCAAGAAATCCCACTTAGTTACAACCGGGATCTGGAGGATTGCCTTCGGGAAGAAGAGGAGAGGAGAAGAAAAACAGGATTTGGGAGAAGAGGAGAATGCAGTTGGTTTGCAGTTCTATCTGTGACCAATGTTAAGCATTTTCTCAATGTTGTAACAATATCACCAAATCACCAACTGATTTGAGGTTTTACACCCAGATTAACAATAGATTACTGAAGTTTTGCATCCAGATTAACAATAGCCATTTTAATTAACATTGGATATTCGTGCGATATTAAAAATAAATTTTTAAAAAGACAGGATCCTGCATTATTTCAATAATGAATCACCGCTTATATACTTTTTAAAATGTGCCCAGGTGCAAGAAGAAGAAAGTATAGGAAGACAAAGTTCAGGTGCAAACAGGTAGCGTGAAAACCAGGACAACTGAAACAAGCTTTCAAAATGGAGGGTGTTTCACATGTAAGCAATTTGACCCAGATTCCACGCAGAAACCTTCATCTCAGGCTAGGACAAACATACCCACTCAGCAATCTCTTTCTATCTTGTCCCTATAGTGCTGCCTTAATCTTATTTGTGTATTATTTATTTGCTTTTTTATCCCACCTTTTTAACATTTTTTTAGATTATTTATCATTTTTATTAGATATTAGATTTACTATTGTATTTATTGTGAGATTAATAACTCAAACCGTACCCACAATGTATCCAAGAATTAGTTTCACATCATCCTTAGTGGTGTGAGTGATATTTCCCCCCCATCTTAATCCAGCAGAGCCCGCAGCTGTTTTGGTATGTGAAATCTTCACACTTTGCTTGAAGATCTTGCTGGTCACTTCAGAAGTGGTATTCAGCAGGTTCTGACCAATTCTGGAGAACCGGTAGTGGAAATGTTGAGTAGTTTGGAAAATGGGGAAATACCACTTCTGACTGGCCCCGCCAACCCCATCTCTTCTTTGCTTCCCGCTGAGTCCCAGCTGATCGGCTGGGTCTTCTTTGGTTGTCCTGCTTAGGAGAAGGGAGCTGGAAAGCAGGTTAGTGGGGTGGGGAGGGAATGGAGATTTTACAGTAACTTTCCCTGCCACGCCCACCAAGCCACGCCCACCAAGCCACACCCACAGAACTGGTAGTAAAAAAAAAATTGAATACCACCACTGGGCCACTTTCCCCACTCCTCCAAACCCCCAAAGCCCATCTGCTGGCTAAAGGATGAGTGGAGGATCCTGAACTCAAGACAAAGATCTGTGGTCTCCAAACATAGCAACTTTTAAGTGGAACAGCGGTGGGATTAAAAAAAAAAATTACTACTGGTTCTGTGCATGTGGCTTGGTGGGTGTGGCTTGGTGGGCATGGCAGGGGAAGGATACTGCAAAATGCAAAATCCCCATTCCCTCCCCACCTCACTAACCTGCTTTCCAGCTCTGTTCTCCTGTGCAGGGCAACCAAAGGTGACCCAGCCCATCAGCTGGGACTCAATGGGAGGCAGAGAATAGGTGGGGGTGGGGCCAGTCAGAGGTGGGATTTGCTGGTTCTCCAAACGACTCAAAGTTTCTACTACCGGTTCTCCAGAACTGGACTCAGAACCTGCTGAATACTACCTGCCCAGCAGCCTTCATCACAAAGCTTGACCCACGCAGTGGATGTTAGGTATCATATAAACAATCCAGCCAAAGTGGCTGACTGGGGAAATCTGGGTTGAAGTCCGGAAGTCTTAAAGTTTGGAGATCCTTAACAAAGATGAACAGCGATAAAGCAAGACTTTTTTTTTTTTTAGTAAAAAATCTTACATCTTGAATTGGATGCTCTATAGCGGAAGAAGATGGTTTCATCTTACAAAACATTTTAAAAGGGGCATTTAATGGGATTTCCTTCTTCAGGATGTGTGGGGATTTTGTGCATGTTGGTTCAAACCAGTCCCCTTTCCTCCAATGTTCTCTCACGGGGCACAATTGCAAACCAGCCGTTTGTTACCATCTCTGTCTTTTTTCTCTTTTAGTGGTTTTCATGTGACCCTCTCGTATATGAATAGCACGGGATGCAAGTTTTCATCTCAAGCTTTTTTTTTTTTTCTTTAAGGGCTTTCTTCCGTTTATAATTTTTCTCCTGCAGGACACGGAATTTAAGTCTGACCAATGCAAATGTCTGCACCAACTGTGTAAACGGAGCCCTTACTTACCCCATTCTCCCCTCTGGTGAGGAAGCTAAATTAAATTAACGTGGCCCATAATTTTTAACCTCTGGAAGGCCTGATTTGGGTTGCGGTTTTTTTTTT